ATCCACTCTTTCTCCATACGACTATGCTGCAAGAGCTTATGGTTGCTTAGGTAACCCTTCGGTTATTAGAACATCTCTCGGTGTGTGGATCTTTGATATAAGTGCTTCCAGTCATTTGTGCTCGTCTCTTTCCTTGCTTAGTAATCCTAAGTCTACATTTTCATCCATCAATATTCATATTCCTGATGAAACTAATAAATCTCTTACTCATTCCGGATAAATTGTTCTAAATTCTTCTATTACATTACATAATGTACTTTATATTCCTAACTTTGTTCTGAACCTTGTGTCTATAGGCTAATTGACTACTGGTTTAAGTTGCCTCGCTAAATTTGAAGATTTTTGTTGTGACTTACATACCTGAGGACTAACTCAACCTCTTATATGCTAAACTTCATCATAATTTCTATATTTTTTACTTGAGATTATCATCCTAAATTTTATGTTCTACTGTCTACTTTGATCATTTATTTCATTTTCTTATTATGGCATGAGAAATTGGGTTATCTATTTTAAAATGGTATGTTCTACTTGTGCATCTTACTGTTTTTCCTTCCAAATATCTATACAATAAGAATCTACACTTTGTAATATATATATATATATATATCAAATTACATATTCTTTTATTGAAAATGCTAAATCATATACTTGTTTATATTAAAAAGAAAGTTTACATTTCAATATCTATTTAATTTAATGAAATATATATTTTGTATTCAATCGTTTGCTATTCTCAAAATTATCTTAAAAAATTTCAAAATATTTTTGTTACATATATTATCTCTGTCTCATATCTTGTGCCCACATCGTTGTTTCAATAATTTCACAGTTCATCTTATTATTTTTTTTAAAAAAAGATAATATATGTTGTAGAAAAAAAAACGTATTAATTTCGTAAATACAAATTTTTTTACAAATTACATTTAATTTAAATCAATGCGAATCATTTTATGTAACGGGTTCTTTGATTTTCTTTTCAGGTCAATTTGTTTTCCAACTCGACTTCAAATATTTCTTTGAAGACTTTTTGGGATTTGTTCTTTAATTCAACTTTTGGCAGATTTGATCTTTATTTGACTTTGTCAGCTTTGAAGGATTTTGGTCTTCGCACAGGTAAATTTCATCATTGGCTTCGGCTTTGGATATTTATTTTGATGGGTTTTAGGCTTTGATTGTTGCGGAGGTGAATTTGATGTTTCATAACACTTTTTAGTGGCATGTCATTTTGATTGTTGGATTAAATAAGGCCGAATTTGATAATTTGATGAAAAACGCGATGAACATCTTAAAGTTTTAGGATAAACTTTGGAAGATTTTCATTGATTTTGATGGATTATTTAACGGATTTTGAAATTTTGATATTTCATCTGACTTAAACATACGATGAATAACGTTAACTTTATCGATTTATCGACCAATATTGGATCATTTGTCTATATCGACGGTTTTTTATCGAAGAACGCTTTGAAAGACACAAAAAACAATATAGAGAGTTTAAAGAAACTTACCCTTACTCGAGTTTTCGAATGAACTCCGGTGTCTAATAAATTGGCCAAGACCCTTATATATATAATATGGGAGGGGTAGCCTCAGCTTCTTTTTCGGATAATGCCACGTGGAGTGTTTCGATTGGCCGACAAAAAGATTTTGTAATCCTTCCTTTTCGTCAGATGCCGTTTCCATTCTTGAAAGATTTAATTGTGCAATTTTTCTTTCTAATCAAGATCTTTATATTATTTCCTTTTTACGAAAGATATTAATTATAATATATTTTTTATACAAGATTTAGTTAATTTACTGTCAAATCTATTATGACTCTATATATGTACATAATATTTCTACGATATCTTCCACTTTAGGCGAATTTTGAATTAATGGTTGATATTTATTGTACAAAAATTAACATATATGTATAATTAAATACATATATTTATTTGATTGAAATTTTATTTTCTTCCAAAATATATAATATTTAATTGAATTTAGGCATTTATTTTAATTGCCTACACATACTTTATAATCACATTTTAAAATTTTAAATTTTAATTAGATTAATTAGTTATTTTAACCTATAATTATTTATATCATATTGTAAGTATTTTTTAATATATTATTAATTATTTCCTACTCACATCTCTCGTAAATTATTGTATTTACAGTAATCGGAATATGAAATGATAGTATTTCCAGTAATCGGAATATGGAGGGACAGTATAAACATACCTAAATTATTATATGTATGAATTTAGAGAGGGAGCCTGACTTATCGATGCCAACACAAGGAAAATAATTTTATTATTATTATTATTATGATTATTACTCCATCAGTGCCTTAATAATCTATCTATTTTTTTATAAATACTCTTTCAATTTACAATATATTACACAAATATTATTTTGAATTTATTTCTGGATCTTTCGGATTTATCGAACAAAATCTCGTATACAAAATACAACAATAAATTCGCGGAAGCAAAATTCGAATAAAACCCAAATTAATATAAACCGAAATCGAACTAAGACTTAAGGCTAAAGACATTCTGGATTATGCAAATTAAAACACAAGCAAACAGCTCAATTAATAATCACCACTCATAATAGAATTTGAAGAAAACTCCCTTTCGAGATTGATTTCTGGAATCGGAGATCTGGGCGCCGACTCACGACAGCTTCTTCCGGCGATTCGACGTACAACGGCGATAGCGACTCTCCTTCCGGTACTCCTATGGACAGCGCCGAATAGCGACTACGATCGTCTTCTCCGGGACTCCTTCCGACAGTGATGTAACCTCCGATCGGGTCTTTCTTCCATCGATCTTTCACCGGAGGTTAAGGAACATTACTTGTCGGCTTAATCCATGGTGCAAAGTGGCCCGAGGTAATCACGCCTCAAGGTTGGAGGTCGGCTCGTCAATCCAAGCCTCGACACCCACTGGAATCGACCGTCCCGAATCTCACCGGAAACTCACCGGAATCCTCTCTCGGTTTCTCTCCATCTTCATCTCGGTCTCTCGGTCTCTCGATCTCTCCCCTCTATCTCTTAACTCTTGATTTCACTCTACTCGGTTTCACCGCTCATAATTCACCCCTAAACTCGCTCTTTTATATCTATTCTAAACTAACTCACACAGTAACCAACTCACTAAGAATATAACAAAATCAACAACCTAACTAATTATATTTAGAGTAAGGTGGATTTCCGTAAATCAATTTGGATTAAAGGGTTTGGACCGATTCGATGGGTCGGACTACTGAGTGGGCTAATTAATTATTTATCGGGACTTTTTGGATTAGACCTCGAATGGCCAAAATTTTCAACAAATATCGTTACATTTATATTATACACTATTAATAGAGATTATTTTTACATTATCCTAATATAATACTAATATTTTTAAAATTTTGTGCAAAAAATAAATGAATATATAGATATGGGATGAACAGAATATTTTATTACTTTTATTTTTATTAAAATCCTATAAATTTGTTTTTTCTTTTTTATGGCACACTACAATAAATAATAAATTTTAGCCCACCCATATAGTACTAATTTTACTAAAATGGGTTTTGGTTCACTAGTATGGACATTGGAGTTTCAAAATTAAATGATAATACAGTCGATGGCTCACATTACAGTTTTTGTCTTGAAAGTTTATTTGTTTTTTTTTTTTTTTTTGAAATTAAAATTTTGATTAGAATTTTTATTTAAATGATATTTGATATAATATTTAATAAAGTAAAATAATATATATATATATATATATCATTGAAAATCATATAAACAAAATAGTGTGATGAATTGTGTTTGATTCTTTCGAAACCCAAATCAAACCTTTCGAGGTTTTGTACTTCACGTTTAAGTTATTATTATTATTATTTAGTTTTTTTTTTTTTTTTTTAAATATGAATTTGTATGTTCAGTATTTTTTATTTAATGTATTTTTTATATTATGTATGAAAAAATATGTCAATAATAGAAAATTAATATTTTGTATTTAATAGTGGTTTTTATTTGAAAATAAAATTATATTTTTAATATTAATAAAAAAATATTAAAATAAATTTGTTGAAAGAAGACACCCTGTATCAAACACTTCTTTAATAGTAATAAGAAATATTAATGTATAAACAACACACAAGTAAACAAGCTCTTATGGTGTATTTGCTTTCAATTCTCATTAAAAATATATTATTCTTTTAATAAAATATTTTTTAAAAAATAAAATTGTTAATAGCCTCTTCCATTTAATAGGTTTGTTTGTTTTGGGCATTGAATTTGAGCAATAATAATATTGCATTGATAGTAAGTATAAATAAAATATAAAAATAATTTATATTTATAGTTTTTTTTTTTTTTTTTTTTTTGACATTGATTTAAAATTTAGTGTTCAGTTGAGCTTTTATTTAAATAATATTTTAATGCGCTAATTTGTAACATCAAATAATATATTTTTATTGAAAATTTTATTATGTTAATAATGTTGATTTAGATTTAAAATAAAAAGAAAAAAACAAATCTAATATGTGATATAAATAAAAATTGATATAATATTTTGAATATAAAATAAATTTGTAGCATAATTTTAAAAAAAATAATAATTGCTTGATGCAATATTTTTTAAGATAGAAAAAAAAAAAAAAAAAAAAAACAAAAAATGAATGGTAAAAACTATGGTAAAATTCACAAAATGACACAACCACAACCCTATTGGGAATAAAATGATGCATCTATCACCACCTTCATATTTGCTACTACTTATATATGTTACGTTGGACAAAAGTTATAACTGTTCCCATCAGCCATCCAATTAAAAATAAAAATAAAAATAAAATCCGATCAAAAAAATAAAAATAAAAATAAAAAAATGGTTGTTTCGTAAAGATGACTTGGTTGAAATAAGTTGTATTTAGATATTTCATCAGATATTTTCAAAACTGCATATAAATTAATAAATAGATCAAAATGATGGAGAATAAAAGTGAAATAAAAACAGCAATAAGACCAAAAGGAAGCATAAACAAGAATATGATTTTGCACATATCTGCATTATAAGCACTCAATAAAAACACTTAAATTAGAAATCTGACAAAGAAATAATAACAAAAATAGCAATAATAAAAAAAAACACCATAAGTAAGTTCATATTGCAGTGAGCCAGGCTAAATAACAATTCATAGTCGAATTAAACGAAGAAATATCACGTGATGTTCCGAAAGAGTGCTCGATCATTGCCAAAATGTCGCATTCACCCCATAGAGATCTACTGCAAAAGATTTTTAACTTTATAATACCTCTAATTTAACTTCCGGCAGCAGTTGGCACCGACACGGGCTTTGAGTCCTCTGCCTTTTCGTGTTCTTTGTTCAGCATCTGGAGTCGTGTTATTACCAAATATGTTACAACACCAACATACAGTTTAAAAGTGTGGTGAATGCATGTGTAATCAGTGGCAAATATATATATATATATACATATAGAGAGAGAGAGAGATGGATTTGGGGCGAATCGAGTAAAATATTGATACCTTGTTGTTGATCAAATTATGGAGAGCAATCACACTCCGGATCAAGGACGACAAGTATATGACCAGCATCATGTCATTCGTTTTTACTGAGGCCACAAACCATATTAATTTAGGCGTAAAGAATGAAAAACTAAGAAAATGAACACAACTGATATCCAACAATTTACCCGCAAAAGCTTTAACTAATTCAGACACATTCAGATTCGGCAATAGGTTGAACACATCCTGCATTAGTTATACAGTACTTCAATACGAGAAACCAAATAAATAAATAAATTAACTAATTAATTAATAAGGAAGTCCATAATATGGGAGGTTCTACATAACTCATTGCTAAAATTCATCAGCAATTTAATTATCTATATGGATACAATATTATTATTATTATTATTATTTTGATCGGCTATATGTATATACTGCCACATATTGTTATTCATTTCACTAATTCTAGTGGGCCGGGAGTGATACCTGAAGATGGTAGAGAATTTCATGGTTCAAGGGAAGCTTCCCCTCAATAACCAGATCAAGATAACTTCGGATCTCTTTTAACCGTGCATCCAATCCCTTCAAAGCAGTAAGCTTTCCGGTCACCTGAAGATTTTCCATCCGTAAGAGTAAGTACATACACAAACATATGTGTGGATCAACACATTAGCTTTGACCATCAATAAACTGAAAAGGATGAAGATTAAAAGAAGAAACCTCTGTTGCAAGGGTGCTGATGGTTGTGTCTTTCACATCTCTGAGTAAGTGTTCGACACCTAAAAAATAAGCGTAAGTGTGATGGTAGTGGGCAGTTTGCACAAAATAGGATTAAATTGAACATAAAATACCTTTCTACAATCCAAAAGTTGGATATTGGAAAATTTTAATGATTTATTGATACTGAAGCAGAATAGATTCAAGACAGAGACATGAGCTAAACATACCAATTTCTTCAACTTCATGAGCGGCAATTTCCGAAGGAACATGAACAAAAACTTTCTGGCTTTTCTGAGTTGCATTCTGCAAATTCATCCAAAAACATCAACCATACTCATTCCATCACAGATATCGGCGTCAATCAGCAATGGATAATGATGACTTCTGTAATATACCTCTTTAACCTCCTCAACGGCGTAGTAAGCTTTAGTAGGTATTCCAAGCTCCTTTGGTTGAACATCAATGATAACAAGTACAGGAGTCGGAACATAACTGCAATAAAAGGAGGAACATTGGATGAAGCCATAGGCTATGCTCACAGTATAGATACTCGAATAAAAATACAAAACTCCATTCAAGCTGAAAATAGACTTGGAAGCAGTGTGTCCCCTTCAGAACATTATTTTTGTCAAAGAAGTGGATTGCATCTTTTTAAATACTTATTTTTAAAGAAAAAAAAATAAAGGTATAAGAGCTTATAACTGCAACTACCATAAGAGCTTATTGATGGAAAAGATTCGAGTTGCTAGAATAATCCATCAACCAGATCCAAATTAGAGAGTATTTTAATTTTCAAAATAGTGGTGCAAATATGATATATATACATACCATATCTACATAACAAGTATAACAATCTAATTATCTCGATATAGAGTAGATGTGAAACCCTAAACCCGTCACACAAGGGTGTTAACATTAAAAAAATCTTAGTATGAACAAAAATATGCCATCGTAGAAGCACTCCTCACTAAGATGACATTGAAATAATTTCTCCCAAAAAGCTGCAACAGTACGACACAAGGAGAAAATGTTCAAGTAAAGAGGGGAACGCAATGAAAGGAAAAGATAAAGAACACCATCACTCTATAAAAAAAAACAAACTTACTCGTTGAAAAGTCCATGAATATTTAGGTCATTCTCCCTCAGTTTTGGTCCAGTGCTATACCAACCTACAACATGCTCCTTAGCTGAAAAGTTTGTACATATTAATTAGTACAAACTCATGAAACTATGTAATCAGAACACTGTTGAATAATTACTTACCATTTATTCTTCTAAACATGGAAAACATTGACTCGTGATAGTTATGGTCAAGAAACCATATGCTCGGGTCCCGGTCATCTTCTTCAAAAGGCACTGTTTACCAAAAGCAGTGCATCAACAAAAAACAGTGGAAACACATAGTTTGCAGAACAATGACAGTTGCATGAATCAACTAAGAGGCATTGTTACACAATGAAAGAATAATAAAACAGAATTTATTAGATCAAAACATGTTTTCTCAAGAAAGTTTTCACCAAAAAGCATGAATTTTTGATATAAACAAGTCTATCCAATCACAGCCCTATTATAAATCATCAAGCTAATTGCATGAATATAAGGATCTTTGGCACAACAAAGAAATTGAGAATTCATACAGCTTTGATCCTAAGCTTATTTAACTCCAAATTACTTCAGCAGTAGTCTCATGCAATTTATACTCTCCCTACAGCTGCTTCCAAGTCCAAATCCATATGAATATAAGCACTCAAATTACTAATTTCAATAAGCACACTTTATTCTAACCCTAGTAAATTCGTCACTCCCCACATCTACTTCCATGTCAAAATCGATATGAATATAAACACTCAAATTACCAATTTCAATAAGCATACTTTGTTCTAACCCTAATAAATTCGTCAAAGTTCTCAGGCCAAGATTCCACCAAGATTGAATCGGATATATAAAAATGCAACGAGCACAATTTAAAACCTACCCTAAATTTCAACCAAATCAAAACCACATAAAAAGGAAACTAAGAAACCAACCGGCATAGCTGTTGGTAACATCAACGGTGCCTTTAAAGGAAGTTCCGAGCAGAACTCCGACGACGCGCTTCCTGGTGTCACGCGCCACCCGATTATAGTGGTCGACGATGCTCAGCAACACTAGTGGATGCACCACAACCTTCTCGATCGGCTTCGACGATATCTGCTGCGATTTTATCACATCCATTTCCTCAAATCGCCTACTCCCTCTTCGTCTTCGCCGGTTTGAGCTTGATTTCTTGGGCGGAAAGATATGCGATTCTTCCCCACCTTCGTCAGATGGGCATAAACATCGCCCTTTGAATTCGATCTCAATTCCTAACTGAGGGATCTATATTTGGGCCGAAATTTTTAATTGACCCATTACTAATATTTAGGCCCAATAAGATGTAAATTATTTGATTATTTATATCTAGATATCTGAGGTTTTGGATAAATTTGGATTTGTGTTTGGTTTTTATTTGAATTTTGATTTTTTTTTTGGATTTGAATTTGGTTGTAGTTTGAGGAGTTTTGATGTGTATTGATTCGATGGTTATGAATATAATAATATAAATGTATATTAATTTGTATAATTTAATTATAAATTTATATTATATCTATATATATATTTTAAAATTTTTATTTATTTGTATTATAAAAAAATTTTATTTTCTATAAAATGACATATATATTATATATATTTTATTAAATTATAATTATTATAATTTTTTTTATATTTATACTTAAAAAAATAAAAAATAAAAATGACATACTCTGTCCGTCTGTGAGTCTGTCCCCAAACCCCTTCCGGTCCAAAACTTTGCACGGTGATCCTGCCCAAAAAAATCCTTCATAATATTAATTTTATATTAGGGGTGTGCAAACACTGTTTCCACGGTAATTTCGTCTAAACCGGACCGGCTCTTCAAAATGCAACATATGCTGCATGTTGCAACAAAAGTTTTTTTTTTTTTTTTTTTTTTTTAAGGGGTTGTTTGGTTGATGGATTTTTTCTTTTTTAAGGGGTTGTTTGGTTCATGGATTTTTTTGGTGGGATTGAGATTTCACAGTAGGATTTATATGTGATGAGATTTATTATATTTAGGATTTGGAATCACATATTATGTTTGGTTGGTAAAATGTGGTGGGATTTATATTTTGTGGATTTTGATTTTTTATATTCTAAATGACATAATTGTCCTCTTATAAATTTTATTTATTTTGACAAATTAAACCTCTAATTCATTATTAATATAAATTGAAAGTATATCAATAATTTTATAGATGACAATAGATTCGCTTAAACTTGAGACCTGACCGAGCCCGACCTATTTATTTGAAGTTGAGTCAAATTATTTGAGTATTAGGCCTGGATCCGGGTCATGATCAGGGTAATATAATAATAATATATTAACCATACATATGAAAAAATAATTTCGAATAATATAATTATATTAAAAATATTTTTTGAGTTTAACATACTCATTATTTTATTATAATATTTTTCTAATAAAATACATAAAATTTTAATATACAATAGATCTGGTACATATGTAATTTTAAATTAAAATTTAAGAATTGTAAAAAAAAATGGATTTTTCGGATCCATCAAGTTTTACCGGGTATAGTCTTGGTCGGATGTAGTATAATCGGATCCAATTTGAATCTCGGATTTAACAATATATATTTGGGATGAATATCAGTTCCGACTGAATCCGACTTATGGTCGTCCCTATAATTTTATAATTCAAATAAAATTTATAATAAATAATAATTTAAACAATGAATTTATTAATTTATTTAAAAAATATTGTACAATAAAAAATAATATAAATTTAATTAAATATATAATTCAAAGAATAATTAATTTTAAAATTATTTAATTTTTTATATAAATATAATACTATTATTTTTTTAATAAGAGGATATAAATGTAAAAATTAAAATTTCAAGAATGAGATTTAAAAGTAACAGAGGTATCCCCATTACAAAAAAAAAAAAAAAACATCCCTTATTCGTAGGATTTTAGACCCTTTTTTCAAATCCCATCATTTTAAATTCCACATTTTTTTTAACCAAACATGAATTTCATGGGATTTTAAAATTTAAATCTCATGGAATCCCATTAAATCTTTGAACCAAACAGCCCCTAATATAATCTTTTTTTCCAAATATTATATTTATTTAATATTTATAATAGTTATTGTTTAATAGTAAAATATATACCATATATATGTCATTTGAATAAATTTTTTTTATAATACAAATAAATTAAAATTTAAAAATATATATCATATATAATATAAATTCATAATAAAATCGTAGCATTTTTTTCAAACCACCTTAAAGAATCGCACCCTCTGCGATATTATATATCTGCCAAAATTATTTATATTGTTTTCTTTTTGTAAGTTTTTACCATATGTGTTTTACTATTAAAAATTCTTTTTTCTCTTCAAAAATTTCAAATTCAATTTTTCTTTTTTACATTATACTTAAAAATTTATTTTATATTCAAAATATCACGTCAATATCTATTTATATCACATCTAACAAATATGCAAATTCAATTTGTTTGGAGTTTGGATTTTGAGTTGGGATTTGAATAGTAAAAATTTTGAATTTGAATAGTTGTATGATATGATATAGATAAGTGTTGATGTGATGTTTTGAATGTAAAATTAATTTTTAATATAATATAAAAAATAAAAAATAAATGTTTGATTTGATGTTTTTGAGGAAAAAAAAGAAATGAATAGTGTATTTAAAATCCAATCTCCCAAACAAACACACCCTAAAAGATTTTTTTTGTTACTTTTTTTAATCAAACAACAAAAAAATTAAGGGACTCAAGCAAAATTTATGAGTGTGATATTGTGTTAGATGTTTGTGAAATAATTATTTCACTTAAAAATTTAAATTGTTAAAAATAAAATATATAAAAAAATTATACATGTGTTCGTCAGAGGGTGCTTGATCTGGCGGACACGTTTTTTTCGACATCTCACGTAGATATTTTCAGCGTCGGAAGATTAAATGTACGAAAACTTTTCACTTTTGATACTATTTTAAAACAGTCTCTAGTTACGTGTTTCAGTTACGAATAAAAAAAATAGTTTACCTTTATTTTTTTATAATGTTATAAAAAACATATTTTCAGTTTTTATTTTTTAAAATATATCAATTTAAAAAAATAAAAATTAAAAAAAATCTACATATCCATTAGGTGGCATTTACCTAGCGTATCACGTATGCTCTAACGTACCATGGGTGCCACGCGGACATCTTCAGTACCGAATGACCAAATGTGTACAAAATTTCTACTTACAAAATAGATCACTTCAAAAGAAGTTGCCTTGCAAAAATGACAAATGAGGCCAATTTTGGGGCTAAAAAAACAAATAGTTTATTCTATTTTTTTCTATATCTAATTCAATATTTAAATTTTTTTAAAATAAATTATATTCAATTTTAATCAATTTATCAATAAAAATATTAACGTGTATTTATTTATGGGTTTTAGTTTTTTGGTTTGAATTTTTTAATAGTAAAAAATTGAATTCGAATAGTTATTTGATGTAATATAAATAGAGGTTGTTTTGATGTTTTGAATATAAAATAAATTTATAATATAATATCAAAAATGAAAAGTAATTGATAGATATAATATTTTTGGAGACAAAAAAAAATAATAGTACTAAAACCTTATAATAAAACCCACAAAAGACACAACCCTAATTTCTTTAACTAGCTTTTTAATTAAACTGTCAGAAACAAAAATGATTCGGGCAACATATAAGTTTATTGCAACATTCAAATTTCAAAATGCTACTAATTTTATAAATTTGAATAATTTTAATATTTCTAATAAGTAATATAAATTATACAATACTATCACAATTTATATAAATTATTCAATTTGTCATCTAAATTTATAGTTTTTTTTTTTTCATCTAAAAATATAATTTCCTTTGTTAAGTAAAAAATACCATTGTATTATTTTTTTTACTAATTTTTCTTTTATATATTTTTTATCTATTTTTTCTTAAAATTAACATAATTTTATACAAGAAAGAGAATAAAATTTTAAATTAAAATATTATATAAAAAATATTATTTATTTATTATTCTATCCGTCATGAATAAACTGTCAATATTACTATAAATACAAAAATAGAATAAAATATAATTAGGGTGCGTTTGTTTGGGGATTGAATTATAAATACATTATTCTATCATTTTTTTTTTCAAAAAAATCAAATCAAACATCTATTTTTCATTTTTTATATTATACTAAAACATAATTTTACATTCAAAATATTACATCAATACTTATTTATATCACATGATACAACTATTTAAATTCAAAATTTTCACTATTCAAATCTCAACTCAAAATCCAAACCCCCAAACAAACACACCCTTAAATAATTATTATATTACTAAAAATTATTATATATAAAAATAATTAAATAATTTAATTAAAATATATAATTATATTTTAAAACAATAAATAACAAATTATTTATAACGAATCAAAAAAAAAAAATAAAAATAGACACTTATGTTAAAAAAACTAGTAGACAACAAAAATATACAAAACTAAATAATTATTATTATTTTTATAAAATATTAAAAGTATTGGGCTAAAGGTGATATTCTATAACATTATTACAAGAGTTAATTTAAATGTGGATATAAATACGAAATTGATGAGAAATGATAAAAAGAAATGATAATGTAGACACACCGAATACGCTATGCTCTTAAGGTTAATTTTACAGGTCTAATTATATCCATGGAAAATATCTTTTAGAAGAAAATTCTGGAAACCCTTCTCCAACCCCACCATAAGTCCTATCGAATCGAAGTAGCAGCCACCCAAAACAATGGCGTCAATGGAAATGGCCACTGCCTTCGCTGGATTGGCCAGAGTCCAATCTTTTCCGGCTTCCTCTATGCGGACAAGCCTTTTCTTCTGCAGAAACACACCCAAAGTTGCTGCTCAAGCTCGCAGGTTTTTTACCAGTGTTCATTCGAGTTCGGCCAGTTCGAGAGTGGTGTGTCCACCGAGACAGACAAGGAAGTGTTTTTCACGGAGGTTTACCGTCGCTGGCGCGGCGACATCGGAGCCGAGAACTGAGGATTCCGATGTTTTGACTAAAATTCCTCCTGATAATCGAATCCCAGCCACGATTATTACTGGTTTCTTGGGTTCTGGAAAGGTATGTGTTCGGTTTGTCTTTTTCGAGTAATGCCTATGCAACTGATTGTGATTTTTATTTCCCCTAATTTTTAGGGTTAGATTGTCGCTCTGTCAATTTCGTCGTTAATCTTTGTATCTTCAGTTTAATTAAAAATGTTATAGAAATTTATATAATAATGATGATGTTGCTCTGGATGATTAATAAGAAATCGCCATGGATGCATGTTGATATCGATTCTAAGCTTTTTAAGAGATGTTAAGATCACCACAAAGCAAATTTAATGTTCTAATTGTATTTGTTTACTTGACAGACAACCTTACTAAACCACATATTGACAGCTGATCATGGGAAACGAATTGCAGTTATTGAAAATGAGGTATGGGTGTGCTTAAATGCTGTGAATTTCCTGTTATTCCTTTAAGCCCACTGAAACGTCGCCCAATTTATGCTCTACACCTGATTAATTTGGTTATTGGCTGTGATTAATTTGACAGTACGGTGAAGTTGACATTGACGGGTCTTTAGTTGCTGCAAAGGCTGCTGGAGCTGAGGACATTGTTATGCTCAACAATGGGTGCCTCTGTTGCACTGTGAGGGGTGATCTTGTGAGGATGATTGCTGAGCTTGTTAGCCGGAAGAAAGGGAAATTCGACCATATTGTCATCGAGACAACAGGTAAAATTGATAACCTCATAGAACTTTTGGATCAAAACTGTGGCCTACGCACCATATTCGATCCATTTACAAGATGTACTGGCTAATGTCATTTTTTTCATTTGGCTGTGTGACAAGTAATTTTTGAAATAATATTTTCTTATTGCTGTGTCTATTTTTCATCTTCTCAGGGCTAGCAAATCCTGCCCCGATCATCCAGACATTTTATGCCGAGGATCAGATCTTCAATGAGGTTAAGCTTGACGGAGTGGTGACGCTTGTTGATTCCAAGCATGTTGGGTTGCACCTTGATGAAGTTAAGCCTGAAGGTGTAGTCAACGAGGCTGTAGAACAGATTGCTTATGCTGATCGTATAATAGTGAACAAGGTAGGATTCCAATTTATAGAATATGGGCTTGTCGAAAGCTGCAGTGTATACCCTTTTGTGTCTGTAAAAGTGTGAGTATACTAATTACATGATGTTTTAATGGCAGACTGATCTTGTAAAGGAACCAGATGTTGCTTCTGTGATTGAACGGATAAGGGTAGATATCTTGAAACTCGACATTATAATAGTTTCGCATTTCCACTTTTCTCCTAACTGATCATCATGCTTTTTTGTTTTTTTGGCGTGCAAATACAGGGCATCAATCGGATGGCACAGCTCAAGCGAACGCAGTATGGGAAAGTTGATTTAGATTATGTTCTTGGTATTGGAGGCTTTGACTTGGAAAGGTTCATCCTATTTCTATCTCTAATTCGAGCATATCTTTTTTCCATAGCTGTTCCTTCATTGCATTAAATTACTTCTGATTCTTATTTCAATATGCGACACCTAGTTGTTGTGTTTAGACACTGATTCTCTACCCTTTCGATGATATGATCAAGATTTTCCGTAAATTAACAATATGCCATATTCTTAGTCACATATATAAATATATGTATATATAGATTACTGTACAAATTTCCGACTTTTCTCAAGTTATTCAAATACATTGCAGAATTGATAGTGCTGTTGAAACTAAGCATTCCGAGGATGATCACCATCATCACAGCCATGACCATCACCACGATCACGACCATGACCATCACCATGATCACGAACACAACCATGGTAAAACTCCTGGATAATATATATATATATATACCTTACACAAGTTTGGCAAATGGGCTGAAGCGCCGACATATAATTAAACAATTGGTCTAATTCTAAGATCTATGCTGCAGAGCACCACGATCACCATTCCCATGATCACACTCATGACCCCGGTGTTTCCTCAGTCAGCATAGTGTGTGAAGGCACTTTGGACCTCGAAAAGGTTAGAATTTATTACTATTATTATTATTTTAAAATGAAAAATAGGCGTTGAATGTGATGCTTTTGGACGAGAAAATCAAATTCATTATAGATTGTATAGTTAGTTGGTAAACAATATATACTACCGAGCAGGCGAACATGTGGCTAGGAAATCTCTTGATAGAAAGAAGCGAGGACATATACCGAATGAAAGGGCTGCTATCTGTAGACGGGATGAACGAGAGGTTTGTGTTTCAGGGAGTACACGACATATTCCAAGGGTCCCCCGACAGGGCGTGGGGGGCGGATGAAGCCCGGGTGAACAAGATCGTGTTCATTGGTAAGAACCTTGATGGGAAAGAAATAGAAAAGGGGTTTAAAGCTTGCCTGTTGTAGTTGTAGTCGTAGTTGTATTTGATGCTGCAGTTTTGATGATATGATTTTGTGACCTAATTCTCAACACTTAACTTTATGGGGATATTTGGAGCATTGCAAATAATTCTTCTTTCACTATTCGGTAAGGATGGTTTGGTACCGGAAGTTTTTGGTATGTTAAAAAAATATTTCTTCCGTCATAATTTAAAGTATTTTTTATTTTATTTTATTCTTTATTTTGTAATTAAGAGAAATAGACAAACGAAAATAATAAAATGGAAGATGGTTTGATATTATTATCGTTACAAGTACAATAAAATGAATGTTTTGGTTGAAATTAGTTGTATTTTGGTAATTATATATAGGTTATTTTTAATATAATAAAAAAATGATATTTTTGAATCATACAAATGAAAATGATATATTGAATTGGGACGAAGGAAAGTGTATCAGTTTCAAATTATGCATATGGTATCATAATACTCCCTTGTCCGTTTATAAAATATACATATTTTTATTTTTATTTTAAATTGTCTAATTATAAAATAAATATTTTTTAAAAAATACAGTATCATATATTTTTTTTATAAATATTTTATTTAACCATCACATCATTATTTTTTTTTTAGAAAAGAAAACCAAAATTATTTTAAAATTATTTTTAACTATCCACTATAATTAAAATATTATTATTTTTTAAATACAATTTTGAAAATATATTTTCTTTGTGGGTGTTTACGTAAAATAAAGAAAATTCATTGGATATAAATCATAGTTACATTCTTAGTACTCCATCTGTCATACAAATGTATGTCCATTGGTCCGGACCCAATTTTTAATAAAAATAGGTAATAATAATAATTATTTTTTCATTTTAGAGTAAAAAAATACAAAAATATAATAAATTTTTACTTAAAAAAATAAGAATATTATTTTTTATGACAACCTAAAAAAAAATTGTGCATAGAAGAATATTAACTTATAATAATATATCTTCGAGTAAAAATCAATTTTGGTCCCATTCAAAAAAAATTATCAATTTTAGTCATACTCAAATGAAAATTTATCAATTTTAGTCCCAAACTGGTTGACTGAATCTGAACATGGCCGTGTTGGATGACTTAGAAGGTGACTGGGTGTTCCAGGCAGCCAACACGGCCGTGTTGATTACCCTGCACTTATGAACACGGCCGTGTTCCTGCCCGTGTTCTGAACACAGCCATATTCCTACTCATATTCTCAACAGATCCATGTTCCCGCCCATGTTCTCAAGACAGCCATGTTCCTGCCCATGTTCTCAACGCAACCATGTTCTAGGCCATGGTCCTGCCCATGTTCTCAACACAGCCATGTTCACGACCATGTTTTCAATATAATCATATTGTAGGTCATATTTATTATTTTTTTCACTTTTTGGTTAAAATTATTGATATATATATTTATAATTTAACAAAAATATTTTTTACAATTATTTTATAATATAAAAAATAATCAATTTTTAATATTTTTAAAATATATAAAAATAATAATATTTTAAAATAATACTCCATCCGTCCCACGTTGGATATCTGGGTCACTGTAGACACGAGAATTTAGGATAAGTATAATTAGTAAATAATTAAGAATGTATTAGTAAAAATAATTATCATATAATATAAATAATTATAAATTAAAATTAAACTAACTCATTAGTTTAATTAAAATTAAAATTAAATTAAAAAATAGTGTGTAATTACTTATAATACTAATATTCAAAAATTTACGTGAAAAAAGTAAACGGCAATCTTGCACCGGGACGAAAGGAGTATATTTTTTTCTTTGATCATATCACTAAATTTTTAAATTATCATATTTATTACTACACACCTAAATTCACGTGTCTAAATAAATGTTATAATTTGAGAAAAAGAAAATATATTATATCAAATATACTGTATAAAATATGTATACAAAAGGTCGGGTTTGTTTGATTATTTTAATCCATCAGTTTCACTATAATTTATTCTTCTTCTTAAAAAAGAACACATTATATAACTATTTTTTTTTATATATATATATATATAAAATAATTGTTTATTGGGATTTAGATTGAAAAATTTTGATTTAATTTTTGTATTTAAATCATATATAATTTAATATTTTATATATAAAAAAAATGTATCATATATTTATGAGCATCCAATAAGAGAAAGATGGTTGTGACCACGAGCCGCTTGGCTACCCAAATAGCCACACTACTTCTTAAACACACACTCCATAAATGGAAACCTTTAGGGTAATAAATATCGAATGCATTATTTCTTGTTTGCCTACTTTCAAAGATCATCTCGATCCCTCTTAACTCTATATATAGAAAGCCCGAATCAGCTTGAAAAAAACATAAAGACGAACAAAATAAAAGATGACGAGGGCTCGACACATTTTGCACGTTTTGTTGTTAGGACTTACGATAGTTGGAGTGGCGACCGGAGAGCCACTTTTTACGGCCATGTATGTATTCGGGGATTCGGCAAGTGATCCAGGAAATAATAATGACTTTGTAGATACTACGGCGAAAGCCAATTTCCCGCCCTACGGCATTGATTTTGAAAACGGGTCTACGGGAAGATTTTGCAACGGAAAAATCTTAGTAGACTTTCTTGGTACTAATATCGAACTCTTTTTTTTTTTTTTTTTTGCATGTAGAGTTGATTTTTCTTTAGTGTACATTTTATCGATATATATTATTATTATTATTATTATTATTGTTATTCAAATTTGAATAGTTTAGCATATAGAATTTAGGGTTTTTAATTAGGGTATTCGCAATAATTAGAAATTTTGATTTAGAGTTTTTTTTATTTTTCATTTGATTTAGGTTTAAGATGTATTTGGTACAGATAAATGAAATCAGTAAAATAGAAATAATCGAATTTCTTTTGTTTGGTTGAACTAGAAAATTGAGAGTTGAAAAATAAATCATTTCCTAGTTATATACACAGAAATGCAGATAATTGTATATTGATGCAGTATTTTTTTTTATTTTTTTATTTTGTATTATTTAATTTTTATATTTTTTAAATTAAATTATTTAAATTTTATAAAACATTATATTTAATTTATTATTCAAATAGTTAATTTTTTACTATTTTTTTTTTAAAATTACGCTAGAATTTGATATTACAAAACATCATATCTAATTTATTATTTTAAAAAATCACCAATTTTTTTTCAAATAGTTATATTTTTTAACTGAATTCTTTATTTTACCAAATAAAAACTCTCATTCTCTACTGAATTCATTTTCTCTACTGATTTATTTTCTCTGCAAGTCATGTACCAAATATTCGTTTAGGGTTTAGGGTTTAGGATCCGGGCACTCGATAACTAGCTCACTTTTGTTTATCTATTTGATTTAGCTCAAACATTGGGACTTTCTATACTTCCTTCCTACAAGGATACAATCGATGCGACCGACGACAATTTTCTATCGGGAGTAAATTATGCTTCGGCCGGGGCAGGAATTCTACCGGAGTCGGGACGAGCTTTGGTAATGCTCCCTTGACATGGATACATTGTCTTCAAACACGAGTTTTGCATGACAATATTCTTTTTGTGTCAACAAATTACATATGATGTGTATTCGAGTAGGGTCGGGTGACACCTTTTTCACAACAAATCAACAACTTTGGGAACACGGTGGATCAATTGAGTAACCGAATGCAAGACAACGAGCTGAGCGAGTACTTGGCGAAGGCCGTGGCATTTGTCGAAATCGGGACCAACGATTACCTCAACAACTATATTCAACCTATGTTTTACGCAAGTAGCCGTGTTTATAGTCCTCAGCAGTTCGCGGATCTTCTCATGCAGCGCTACGCCGGGAATATATTGGTAATTGAAGCGATTACGAGCAATCTATAGGAATGTTTCGAAAAAGTTCAATCTTTTTTTTCTTTTTTGGCTATTCGAGGTTTTTTTCTTCATGTGTTTTTCATCGATGTCTTATTCTTGAACTTATTGTTTCCGTATAATATAGAATCTTCGTAGTTTAGGGCTAAGGAAGTTCTTCTTGACGAATATTCCACCGGTCGGTTGCTCCCCTATTGTACGAACAATCATTGGTGGCGCTCCCGGCCAATGCCAATCGACCTCGAATAACTTGGTGCAAACTTTCAACAAAGAACTAAAATCTCTTGTCGATCAACTTAACTCGGACTACCCCGACTCCACATTCTCCTACGGCGATTCTTATCAATTGTTCTCCAACCTACGCGAAAATGCTAACGCTTTAGGTACCGATCAATTCTCTTTTTATTTTCATGAGGAATTCAATCGAGCTTAAATTTCTTATATCTCGCTCTCTCTCAAAAAACACATGGACAATTAGGGTGTTTTTATTTGACCAGTCACTACAAAATAGTTGAAATTTAGCTATAAATAATTTTGTAGCAAAAAGTAATGATTTCATAGTAAAAAAGTTTTTGCGACAAAATGAGTTTCGTCGCCTATACTGCATTGATAAAGGTTTTTTGCGATAAATTTGACTTTCTTGACGAAAGATAAGTTTTTCTCAATGAAATTTAAGAAAAGAAATATAGTTATGAAAATACAATTTCATAGCTAAAGCTCTTTTGCTATGAAAATAAAACTCATCACAAAATAATTTTAGCAACAAAACATGCATAACTCTTTTAGTCAAATAGTTTTAGCTATGAAATACTATAATTTTGTAGCTAAAAATCTTTTCCTATGAAAATAGGATTTTTCTCGCAAAAATATTTTAGAGACGAAATTAATTTTGTAGTACATAATTTATTTTTAGCAACAAAATTATTTTTTGTTGATGGATGATAGGTTTTAACTACAAAAATATTTCGTTGTTAAAAATATTATAGCTAATTAGAGATTTTTTTTTTTTTTTTTTTTTTTTTGTAACGAGTGGTTTGGATATCTGACATTTTGATAGAAAAAATAGTTCATGTTTATAAGAAATTACGAGAGTTGCATAGTAAAAAAAACCTGAAACCTAACTCTGGGATACTTATACGCTTGACTCATAACTAAAGAAACTATACATAATTTCGAACTTGAACTTGGCAAGAAACTCGAATAATTAATTAGATACTTGTTCAAGTTTGAAAAGAAAATATTCAAATCGATCGATGGAATAATTAACAAGTGTAGTTGTGGTTCTTCGTAGGATTTTTGGTGAAGGATGAGAGTTGTTGCAAGACGGGAAGCCTTCGAGGCGGCAAAGTTTTGTGTTCTCCGGAGTCGAAGCCGTGCGAAAATCGCGGCGAATATTTGTTTTGGGATGAAGCTCATGTCACAGAAGCTGCTAATGGAGTTCTTGTTGCTGAAATTTACAACAACTCTGCCTATAGCTTCCCTCTCACAATACAACAAATGGCAAATATATGAGATTTGATTGATAGAATACCTAAGTTATTATAATTTCATCCATCATTTTCATGCTTAGCTTTCTCTTTAATTAAATTCATGAAGCTGTTTTGTGTTATCCATTTCTAATGTTGTAATAATAATATATAGATCGAGTTGAGTGATGATATCTTTGTTTATATATATACTAGAACACGCTCTTGCGCGGTATACCGCGCGACTATTCTATAATGTAATGTAGTGAAACATTATTTATTTGAAATATAAACTGTAAAACAAAAATACAATCGAATTATTTGCGCTCAGGTCGGTTGGTCCTCGGTCGGTTGGTCTGGTCGGTTGGTCAGGTGGGTTGGTTAGCTGTCGGATAGGCAGGTCGGAAGGTCCTCGATCGGTTGGTCTGGTCGGTTGGTCCTCGGTCGGTTGGTTAGCGGTGGGATAGACAGGTCGGAAGGTCCTCGGTTGGTTGGTCTGGTCGGATGGTTGGCGGTCGGACAGACAGGTCTGATGGTCTCGGACAGACAGGTCTGATGGTCTGCGGTCGGATGAAGTAGGTCGGCTGGTCTGCGGTCGGATAGGCAAGTCAGCTGGTCCGCAGGCGGATAGATTGAGATAAGAAGGGTGACCCTGCATCTCTAGTTTTGAAATGTCAAAAATAGCAAAGATATTTCAACTTTGATAATTGTTACGCACAAATAATAATAATAATAATAATAAAAATAAGGATAGCAGGATCTTAAAGGAAGTTAGATACAAAGTCGGGTGGAAATGGAGAAAAATTTGCGCTCAGGTTGGTTGGTCGAATGGTCAGATGGGTTGGTTAGCGGTCGGATAGGCAGGTCGGAAAGTCCTCGGTCGGTTGGTCTGGTCGGTCGGTTAGCGGTGGGATAGGCAGGTCGGAAGGTCCTCGGTCGGATTGTTAGCGGTCGGACAGACAGGTCTGATGATCTGCGGTCGGATAAAGTAGGTCGGCTGGTCTGCGGTCGGATAAAGTAGGTCGGCTGGTCTGCGGTCGGATAAAGTAGGTCGGCTAGTCTGCGGTCGGATAGGCAAGTCAGCTGGTCCGCAGACGGATAGATTGAGATAAGAAGAGTGACCTTGCATCTCTTTATGAGTTTTGAAATGTCAAAAATAGCAAGGATATTTTAACTCTGATAATTGTTACGCACAAATAATAATAATAATAATAATAAAAATAAGGATAGCAGGATCGAAGTTAGACATGAAGTCGGGTGAAAAAGGAGAAAAATTTGTGCTTAAGTCGGTTGGTCAGGTGGGTTGGTCGGATGGTCAGGTGGGTTGGTTAGCGGTCGGATAGGCAGGTCGGAAGGTCCTCGGTCGGATGATCAGGTCGGTTGGTTAGCGGTGGGATAGGCAGGTCGGAAGGTCCTTGGTCGGTTGGTCCTCGGTCGGATGGTTAGCGGTCGGACAGACATGTCTCATGGTCTCCGGTCGGATAAAGTAGGTCGGCTGGTCTACGATCGGATAGGCAAGTCAGCTGGTCCGCAGGCGGATAGACTGAGATAAGAAGGTGACCCTGCATCTCTTTATGAGTTTTGAAATGTCAAAAATAGCAAGGATATTTCAACTTTGATAATTGTTACGCACAAAAAATAATAATAATAAAAATAAAAATAAGGATAGCAGGATCTTAAAGGAAGTTAGACACGAAGTCGGGTGGAAAAGGAGAAAAATTTGCGTTCAGGTCGGAAGGTCCTCGGTCGGTTGGTCCTCGGTCGGATGATCAGGTCGGTTGGTTAGCGGTCGGATAGGCAGGTCAGAAGGTCCTCGGTCGGTTGGTATGGTCGGCTGGTCCTCGGTAGGATGGTTAGCGGTCGGACAGACAGGTCTGATGGTGGTCTGCAGTCGGATAGGCAAGTCAGCTGGTCCGCAGGCGGGTAGACTGAGATAAGAAGGGTGACCCTGCATCTCTTTATGAGTTTTGAAATGTCAAAAATAGCAATGATATTTCAACTTTGATAATTGTTACGCACAAATAATAATAATAATAATAATAATAATAATAATAATAATAATAATAATAATAATAATAATAATAAGGATAGTAGGATCTTAAAGGAAGTTAGACACGAAATCGGGTGGAAAAGGAGAAAAATTTGCGCTCAGGTCGGTTGGTCAGGTCGGTTGGTCGGATGGTCAGGTAGGTTGGTTAGCGGTCGGATAGGCAGGTTGGAAGGTCCTCGGTCGGTTGGTCTGGTCGGTTGGTCCTCGGTCGGATGATCAGGTCGGTTGGTTAGCGGTCGGATAGGCAAGTCGGAAGGTCCTCGGTCGGTTGATCTGGTCGGTTGGTCCTCGGTCGGATGGTTAGCGTTCGGACAGACAGGTTTGATGGTTAGAAGGTCGGACAGACATTTCTGATGGTCTGCGGTCGGATAAAGTAGGTCGGCTGGTCTGCGGTCGCAAAGGCAAGTCAGCTGGTCCGCAGACGGATAGACAGGTCGCTTGGTGGGTGCGGCCAAGGAGTCTTTTGGTCTACCGATTGGTCTCTGGATTGGTTGGGTGGGCTATTTAAGTTCTGGAACTGGTGGAGGCGTTTGGCGAGGCGGTTGATGTAACTGACCTGACGACGTTCCAAAACGTTTCGTCTTGGGCGGTTGACGACGGTTCCAAAACGTCCTTTCAAGCCAGTACAAAGGTAGATTAAGGGCTAAATTGTCATTTTTGAAATGAGGGGCAAGATAGATTTTTCAAGTGGCAGATCCGTACAAACTCGTATTTATAAGATATAATATATATATATATATTATTTTAGTTTTTTTTTGTTTTTGATATTATTTTTTATTTCAAATGTTACACGGATTTATGACATAACTTCAAAAATTTATTCTTTTTTGGAACATAGCATTTAACATTTGTTTTATCTATTAAATTTTGAAATACATACAAGGACAAAGATATAATTTCAAGAAATAGTCATTGAACCATAAAAAAATTGATTATTGATTAATAAGGACAGAGAAATATATTGGTAGTTACTGCAAGCATTCCATTAAGCTGTATTATTATTCAACAGTGGTGGATTTTTTATTTATTTATTTATTTTTTCTTTTTAAATTCTTTTAGTTTTATTATTTAAAATAATATTCCATCCGTTCTACTTTTTTTTTCGTCCACTATTTTTATTTCAGTTTGTTTCATTTTATTTGTCATTTTATTTTTAGAAAATATATATGTTTGTTGCATTCCATTAAAATTTAATATGTACTTGCTACTTTGTTTTTTGGTGAAATATTTTATATATTACTCTCTTCGTCCTCCTTTAAGGATTACATCTACTTTTTTTTGTGTCATTGTATTTAACATTAAAAATATTTTTATGTTTGTATAATTTTTTGTACAAATATCTTTATATTAGTATTACAAGACACTAATGAAAGTATTTTTGCAATTTTTTTCTTAATTTGTATTACATTTTAATATAATAATTAATATTCAAACATCAACATATAAAAAATAAATAAGACCATTAGAGCCGGATAAAAATAGTACATTATTATTATTATTTAATAAAAAAACACAACTGCAAGAAATAATGTGAAGCAACATTGATGAGAAGATTATATATATTGCTGAAATGTAGAATTAGATGTATATACCATCAATGCGAATATAAATGCCAGATGCAAATTAATCATATTTAATTGCATGTCAATTTACATATTCCGGTAAACTGTTTTTTCTAGTAGGTAACTGGATCCTTTATCATTTTAGTCTCGTAAATGAAGTATGTCGTAAATTAGTCTCATAAGTGAATTTTTTTTATTGTTTTAGTCATCCGGTGCCCAAGACGGCCGCGTGGCTCGCCGGAGACCGCGTGTCTGCCAACTCAATGACACCTGGCGGACAAATGAATTTAAATTTTTTTTAAATTTTTTTTAAATGGATATGAGACATTATTGTGTCCACGAAATTTTTTAAAATATCTTTTGTATATTGTGCCCTTTTTTCCTTCCTTTGAATTTTAAAAATATCTTAAAAAATAGTACTCTTTCCGTCTCAAACAAAGTGTAACATTTATTTTTTGCACGAATTTTTAGTTGAGTAGTATTAAGTATAATAATTTAGAAATTAGGTGATGTGATGAAGAGAAAAATATATATTTTATTTTTTTATTTGGATGATATGAGAGGGATAAAGTGTGGGGTAGAGATTAGGTATAATTAATTATTTCCTATTTTAGAAATATTGTAAAGTGTTTGAGACATATCAAAAATGAAATGTTGCACGGTGTTTGGGACGGAGAGAGTACAATTTTTTTTTTTTTTTTCAGATTGGGCCATTTGAGATTCTTAAGGAAGCCCGCTATCCCTTTGTGCAGCCCATTCGTTTTTATTCTTGTTTTCACTAGTACTCCCTTCGTCCCAAACACCGTGCAACATTTGTGGTTTGACATGAGAATTTAGGTGGGGAGTATTAAGTATGGTAATTTGAGATAATTTAGATATTAAGTGATGTGATTGGAGAGATAAATGGTTATTTGTTTTTTTATTTGAGTGATGTGATAGGGATAAAGTGAAGTATATATTAATATATGTATAAAAATATTATTAATTATTTTTAAATTTGGAAATGTTACAGTGAGTTTGGACAAACAAAATAGGAAATGTTGCATGGTGTTTGAGATTGAGGGAGTACTAAATAAATAAAATTATATATTTATTACTATTCTCGTAGTTTAAATTTTTGTAAAATATTATAGTAATTTACTAAACTACTAAGGGCTTGTTTACTTGTGTGTATTTATTTACTCGTTTTCCTATTATTTGAGGTAAAATATTAATTGATTGTAAAATTTTCAATAAAAAATAAATTTTAAATATTTGTCTTGAACGATAACAAATTTATAGAGAAAAACATAAGTAAATAGAATTGGTTTTATTTTTTGGAGTTTGGTTTTTATTTTTTTACCATGCAATTATCACATTTTTTTTTATAAAAATATAATATTACAATAAAATTACTATTAAAAAATTAAATTCTAAAAAATACTATACATGTGTGTTTTGCATTTTTTTTTTAGTTTGATTTTTTTTAGATGACAAAAACCCGACTAAATAATGTGTGACATGTTATGCAATTTTGATGTTTCTTTTGCAATTTGTGCTTTTAATGTTTATCTTTCTTCTTCTTCTTAAGTTTTTGA